CCTGATGACCCGAACCCGAAGTTCGCCTTCGCTTCCTGACCTTCGCCTTCGCTCCTTTTCACCCAGTTCGCCTTCGGGCCCAGCAGCATCAGGGACCGAACCTCGGCCCAGTACCGAGAAGCCTCGCAGGTCGCCATTTTCTTCCTAGTTTTCGACTACGACTTCATTTTAGGCCCGTTTTCCATTATTTTTACGCGTGATTTTCACCCAAAATTATATTCTAACATATAAGACCCCTTAATTCATAATTAATCACTTTTTTTAGTGTAAATCTTATCCAAGATTAGTGGGTAGGATATTTTGGGTGGAGTGTTGACTTTGCTTTAGTGTGTGACACAAGCAACCACTCATGCCCACTCAAAGACCAGCCCTTGTCCTTCCACCATACCTGTTCATTTCATTGTCCTTTCCCCCTCTTTCCAACCAAGTACTTTGACTCAAGAGTAGAAAAACCCTTATCTCTCCTCCCATTCACTCACACTTCACCAGGAAGCAAAAACTCATTCTCTCTGTAAATCTCGAGATTTCAAGGCTGATTTTCAAGTTCTTCATCTACCTTGGTAGGTAAATCTCTTCCCACACTTGATTTCCTTACACTTCTTCACTCAAATCATGAGTTCCTTATACAAATATCGTCATATTTGTTGTTAGATCTTCGAATCTTCAAAGCATCATCTAAGTGTTCTTGAGTTGAACACTTCTTTTCTTCATCATCCATCTACTGAAATCACTCAAGGTGAGTTCATACCCCTATCTTTTCATGTTTTTCTTAAGTTTTAAGGGGGGGAATACAAGTTAAAACACCAAAAACTTAACTAAACTCAAACAACAGCTTTCATCAGAAACGTTGAGTCTTATTCACGGACTGTTTTGACTACCTTAAACTTAATATCTTTCAAAACTGTTTAATATTCAAATATTTCAGGTTCATACCTTTAAAATGACTACTTGCACATCTCCATACCATTTTTCTACGATTTATGGTGATTTTTATAAAACTGCCTATCATTTCAGAAACGAATTCGGACCAGTCTGTGAATATGAACACTTTAACACAAGTTAAAGACTTCTAAAACTCGTAATAAAAATTATGAATAAACTAGACACATTTTTTGAACTCTCGGAATTTACGGAATCAGTTTTCCACTTCTTATGATTTTTCTATGATTTTTCTAAAACAGTGTAGAAAGGTAAAAATCTAGATAACAACTTATAACTTTCATCACACTTTATAACTTGTTGAGAAAAGTGTTAATCTTTGAAGATTTCATATTTTACATGTGTTTCTTGTTCTGGTATAATTATATAACAGAAAATACTCACTGAATTGTAAGAATTCTCCATTATTACCATTAGTATAAAAATAAGGCATGATAAACATAGTTATATTTTTGCTATACATTCGACTTACATAGAAAAGGGTCTTTATACATCACAAACAAACATGCTAGAACTATAATAGGTATAGTTAGATTGCATATACATTACAAACATTTTTGGATAAACTATAATATGCATAATTCATGTTTACTATCACTACCACTATTTGGTGAATTATGATATGTATAGTTTATGTTCACTACCACTACCACTTTTGGAAAAACTATAATATACATAATTCATGTTCACTATCACTACCACTATTTGGTGAATTATGATATGTATAGTTTATGTTCACTGCTACTACCACTATTTGATAAACTATAATATGCATAATTCATGTTCACTGTCACTACCACTATTTGGTGAATTATGATATGTATAGTTTATGTCCACTGTCACTACTTGATGAACTATGATAACCATAGTCTCGGTCCTTGGTTTTTAAGACTACATTCTATCTACAATTGTTAGGCTTCAGCTATAATTGCTAAGTGTATATGCTAGAGTTATATAGAATTTAGTCGTGATCGACTTAGAATTGGTGGGTCCGCTTTATTTCCTGTTCCTTGTTTGGTTGTGGGCCTAGGGCAGAACCATTACATTCGACGGTCTATTTAACTTAAATTTTATATAACTTATATACACTTAGAGATTATAGAAGGAAACTATAGGAAATTCTAGGATGCACTATTTATTAATATAGAAACTTACAATTCACTATTTAAGGAAAATATCGGATTTTCTTTGGAAACATGTTTCTATTAAAACTACATTACGTCTAGAATTGTTAGGCTTCAGCTATAAGTGCTAAGTGTATTTGCTAGAGTTATATAAGAATATAGTCACAGTCGACTTAGAATTGGTGGGCCCGCCTTATCTCCTGTTCCTTGTTTGGTTGTGGACCTAGGACAAACCCATTATATTCAACGGTTTATTTAACTTAAATTTATATAACTCATATACGATGGGTAATTATAGAAGGAACCCACAGGTCTTTCTAGGGTTCATTATCGCATAACATAGGAGCACTCATTTCACACTTAATTAAGAAAATATTGGATTTTATGGAAACATACTTTGTCGCTTTTTCAAGGAAAACGGTTTCTTTCTCAAACAAAACTCTTATGAACTCACCAACTTAATTGTTGACACTTTTTCAAAACTACTTGTATTCTCAGGAAATCAGTGAAATAGGAAAACCAACAGCGTTTTGAGGATGGGATGATAAATCATCAAACAGTTCATTTTGTCATCATAATGTAATTGATTTTGAAACATGTAAACTTATTCTATGGTGTAACATTTTCAATTATATTTATGGTGGTTGTATTTACTTTGAGCACTATTATACTCGTTGTTGTGATACTATACATGAAGTCCTCCACCCCCGGACGTTTCCGCCATCCTTGGTTTGGGGGTGTGACAGATTTTTTAATGGTTTGAAACGTTTTTAAAAGTTTAAATTTGGCATGAAATTTATGGGTGTTACACTTCGTCTAATTCCTGACTACATGGTTCTTGTTTGATTTATTGCTTTTGGGTGGATCATATGTTCGAATATCTATCTAATTTCGATTATGTATGGCTTTTTGTATAGAATACCAGAATTTGGCCCATGATGACAGTACAGAAGACCAGGATGTGGCTCCTCGCAATGGAGTCTAGGTAGTGCCTGTTATGTATGGTTGGGTGGGGCTTGTTATGTATGGTTGGGCGGGGCCCCGTTATGTGAGTTGGGCTAGTCCCATTACATAGTTATGTATATGTATGTGGATAGGATTTTTGGTTGCTCGAAGCTAGATTCAAGGATTGTATATGGATGTATCGTATGTATGGTGGAATATGTGGTATACCGGGGAACTCACTAAACTTTATGCTTACAATTGTGTATTTAACATTTTTGCATGTCACTCGTGGGAAGAGCTCGGTGAGACTATACAAATACATCAAAGCTATTTGTTTCTGCGGTTTATAAATTTAACTTTGATAATATATGATTTTCAATCAAACAATTGTTACTCAAATGGTTTTGAAACAAATGTTTTAACTGGTTAACCTAATTTATGAATGAAAAATTTCTTTGTAATTTTCGGGACGTTACATTTATTTTTAGTAAAAGCTTACATTCATAAATACTAATTAATCATTAAACAATTCTAAATTTTTCTTTTTACTTAATAAATATATTTTTATTTTTGTGAAATATTTTATATAGCCTCTTAATTTTTTTTTCTTTTGTTTTTTAGCTTATGTAATATTTTTAAAATAATAATATCTAACAATAAAATTAAATAACTTAAATATGTAACAATAGGTATGTAGGGTCTATAAAAAAATATTGCGTAGCAAATAAGAAAAAAAAAATTATAATGTAATTTTTAAAATTATTACAAGTTTTTTTATACTTTTTAATAAGAAGGTTATAAACTTTTTAATTTTTTTAATATAACGTTCTAAACTTATATGTTACGAAAATATTTTTCAATGTTATAAAAAATGTATTAAAGTTTTATATAAAATCTGTGAAACATTTTAAAAATATTGTAAAAGAAAATTAAAAAGAGTTTTATGGAAATTATAAAAAAAATGTATGCAAATGTGAAATGAAAATTAAAAATTTGTAAGATTGTATTAGAAAAAATTATAAACAAAGTTTAAAAAATTGTATTACAAAAACTTATAACAAAAATAAATATTTCAAAAATGATTGTATTAAATTATAAAAAATCTTAAAATATTATATACAAAAATAAAAATTGCTAACAAAACGAGATAATTACTAACAAATCATTATTCAATAATCAAAATCTCCCATCGAATTCAAAATCCATCCCTCTCTTTCATCGAAATCGGTATCGGCGACAAAGCAATAATCACTGGTAAAATCTTTCGCTCATCAATCAATAGTTCTATATCTCGATCTGATGATTTAACGTTTCGGTTTCCCCCTTTTCTTGTTTCTAGGGTTTATCATCTTCCATGTTAAATTTGAGTCATAATCTCGCTTAATCAATTCGTAATGAATAAAAGTGGAACTGTTCTTTGTTGCGCTTTTTTTCATTTAGTTTATTATGTTAATAGATGCAATGTAAAACCCTTGGTTTTTCGACGTGCAAACTGTTCACAATCAAATTCGATAATCATTCTCACTTTCCTAGTTTAATTGACTAATACATTCAGTCGATCAATAAATCTATCAGCGAGAGTCTGAATTGATTCAGTTACTTCGTTCTGTTTATCGTGAAATCGAATTTTCCATAAACAAGAAATCATAGATTTATCTACATCGCTTTGTGGAAAATGGATTTATGCATGCCATAATATTGATGAATAATGACCATGAGAAATTCTTGAGTTCATCATTTTATGCTGAATTTGTGTCTTTTTAGAGTAATCATAAACTCCATATTTGCAAGGTAGTATAAAGTATTGACATGTAGATGCATTTTTTGTGTGGGTATATGTCAAATTTGTCAAGATATATTATGGAGATCTTCAACAAACATATTATCTCCTAAATTTTGTTTAGATTATATAGAGTAATCATGAACTCCATATGATATGCTTTAAGCTAATTAAACTGACGTAATTTCGAATTATTTTTTTAACAGAAAATAATGGAGAAACCTACAGCAACACTTCTATATTCCCTACTTAAAGATGGCGAAAAACGACCCCTTGAAGACATAATTACCGATTTCTCCCTAAAAATCCCTAAATCATTTCACAAAGAAATCTGTTCAGCACTTGTCATTCTTCTAGAAGACACCACAAAATTCTTAAAATACCCTGAACGTTTCGTTGCATTCGCTTTACTTCACCACTCACATTCCACCCCAAATTCACGCAATAACCCCTACCTTTCTTTCCTCCTAAACCACGCAAATGACCAAAATACCCTTCCGTCAGAACGCGCATTCCTCCTCCACCTCCTCTCCTCTCCCGAGCCCATAAAACTCTCTCCGGCGGATTTCATCGACAAATTCGACCCCTCCACCCACTCCTTCCCCGACCCACCCCTGCCCGAAAAGTCAAACCCCTGCCCGTTGACTTCCCTCTTCAAAAACACTGCGATAAAAAACGCGATTCCCGATCCCGACACCTCGGTCAACTCAGAGTTTGACTTCCGTTACCGCGATGAGGTGGTGACCGGACTCCTACAAACCTTATCGTTAGACAGTCTGTATCCGCGGTGGGCCCGCCAGGGCCCACCGCGCCTCCCGGTGCTATCCAGTGAGCTCGTCTGGGTCAACCCAGACCCAGACGTGACCCACGAACCGCTTTGGGACACCGCGATGTGTGCGGACACAATTCGCGGTGCAGCGGTTCGTAACCTAATTTCAAAATACGTAAAAGGTTCGTTTGCTCTCTCACAAGAAGAAAAAGTTTTGTTGGAAGTAACTTCGGGCCCACAACTATTGTATTATTGCGGTTTAACCACTGGGAAGCTTCCGGAATTTGTGGAGAATAATCCTTTGATAGCGGCTGAGGTTTTGATAAAACTAATCAAGTGTCCTGAAATGTCGGAGTATTTGAGGGGTTTGTTGAATATGGATATGAGTGTGCATTCAATGGAGGTGGTCAACCGGTTGACTTTGGCGGTTGAATTGCCGACTGAGTTTGTACACATGTACATAACTAAGTGTATGTCGAGTTGTGGGGATATTAAGGATAAGAACATGCAGAATCGGATGGTGAGATTGATGTGTGTGTTTTTGATGAGTTTGATTCGGAACAAGATTATTAATGATGAGGATTTGTTGATTGAGGTTCGGGGGTTTTGTAAGGAGTTTTCGAGGGTTAAGGAGGCTGCGGGGTTGTTTAGGGTACTTAAGGTTTTGTAATGAATGGATTCTATGTTTTTTTCTTTTTTTTTTTTCTTTTTTTTTTTTTGGATAAAGATTTGTATTTGGTTGTGGATTTTAGGAGAAATGGATGATTTGGGAATATGGTTTAGAAATTTGAAGTTGGTATTTTTGTATATGGAAGTAATATACGTTAGATTCTATGAGGAAAATAGTTGGAAATCAGTGTTGTTTTTGGGTAAAATTAGAATGTATTTCTTGAATGGTTTAGATGTGAAATTACTATTTAACCCGTCAAATGCCAAAACCAAATTTGTTTAAAAAAAAGTTATTTTATTTGCGATTGCTTATTCAAGGTGTGCTTATTAATTTATTGTCCTTTGGCAAAACTGATAAATAGTGTTTAGTGTTTGACCAGATTAAAATTAAAAGGGCTTATTGATTTAAATATTAAGTTTTTTATAAGTTAGTGGGTTTTCACTTATTTAAAACTAGAAATTGCTTCATTCCTAGTTCGCAGGGGGCGCAAACGTGTTCATCCATTATCGATGGAGATTTGGTCATAGGACTCGAAGACAATAATTAATTTAAACATGTGTATTCAATCTTTGAATTTTAATTAAATCTGTTTAAATAATTAATTAAATCAATTAGAATTATGATTTATAGTGTAAATAAAATTGACAAATTTGCATATGCCTAAAAACGAGCCATATAAGCAAATGGGCATTAAACAGTTTTTATTTAAGTAGATATGTCGCGTCGTGGAGGAGGACCTACCGCTCCGCTGACCAAGGTCGATACACGCTTTCATAAAACAATTTTTGGGTTCACTATGTCGGCCCTCCACGCCGTGGAGAAGGACCAATCACGCCACATAGGCACTAAAACAGTTAAAAACCCTTACAAATTTTATAGGCAATTTCTCAAACACTTAAAAACTTTTAGCAAATAGAAAACTATATCAGATCTAGAGCATGCAAAGTCAATTAACACAAACAAACCAGAAATCGTAAGTGCCATAGATGTGAACATATAGGCTCTAATACTAATGTTGGGTTATGAGAGTCCGTAGACAACTTAAGGGACAATGGAACCAATACATAAAACATAGCCAAATCATAAAGATTTATGATCACCAGATCTAGGAAACTAATACAAGAAAGAAATAAGAAAGATATAATACATACACTTGTGTAACATCCGGAATCTTGAGGTATTATTTCTTACATTATTTGTTGAGTTTTTCATTAAATGGAAGGCCATGACGTGGTGGAGGCACCACCACAACATGACATGACAAGATTGATCGCAGATCTTATTTTGGTCCCTTTGATCTTGGTTTGTATGGTTTGAAGAGACAAAGTTTGCAACTTAATGGTTTCTCTGAATCCCCTGAGCATCATATCTTATATATCTAGGAATTGGTGGTGGTTTGTAGACCTTGCATGAGATTTAGGCCATATTTCTTCATTTTTGACCAAGTTTGGGGAAGGCAATGCATTTCCATCAAGTTTGGATTTTTATGGACCTCTAAGGGTCTTAGAAGAATTCTGGAGAAGTTGAGTTAAGGGTTTAGTGTATTAAGGGCTGAATGCTTAAAGACATTCATACACCATCGCAACGACATGGGGACTGAACGAGGGTTGTGACTATTCTGTCGGTTAGCGACCACAACGTGGCTAAGGATTGGCCACGTCGTGACGACCATCTGATGAGGATTTTGGATTTGGACCTTGACCATAAACGTTGACTTGGAGGGTTGACTTTTGACCATAGTTGACTTTTGGTCAAATTAGGATTTTAGGGTGTAGACTGAGAGAGTACATCTTTATTATTGATAAGTGTCTCGCAGTACCTATGTATCCTATGTGAGCTGTTGTGGTTTAGCTGCTATCCACGAGGTGAGTCTTCTCACTATATTTATCTATGATGTAGTGTACACATATTGACTAGTTGGTTCTTATTTGTTGATTGATGTTAATGTAAAACTGAGTTGCTAATTCCTTCCGGACTGATGTGAGTCCATGGGACTGCTGACAGTCCCCTGGGTTGCTGATAAACCCTGAAACGTGCTATTAATCTACGGGACGTATTGTTGGCCCATTGGGATTGCTTATAATCCCCGAGTTGCTGGTAACCCATAGTTGTTTATTATGTTGTGTTGTATTTAATATTTTGGGAAACTCACTAAGCTTCGTGCTTACAGTTGCGCATTAAATGTGTTTCAGGTACTTCTGATGATCGCGGGAAAGTGAAGGCTTGAATGTACACTCCGGCTTATAGATTTTTACGATTTCCGCATTTTGATACTCTGATTTGAGATGATTGTATTTTATACACTTGGGATTTTATTGACTTGGTTTTTCTAATACTTGAGGTTTTCTATATTAAAAATAAAAAAAAAATTTGGTAAAAAATGGGATGTTACGACTTGTGTTCTTCGGATTCTTTGACTTTGCCAGTTGATCGGACTTGGAGGATCCAATGTAGAATCCCTCTCTTATGATCGCACGCGAGACACAAAAAATAGAACCTGAACACCCGACTGGAAACATACCATGAAAAGGAATAGATTTGAAGTTAGAATCGACGAATTGCGGTGTAGACACTACCTCCTTGCGTCGCGATAAACAACTACTAGGGTTTTTCGAGATTCGAGAGAACCTCCATGAATTCAAGGAGTTTTGACTGATTTTTTTATCTTTAATTTCGGTTTTAGGCGTCTCTATTTGTAGGGGAAGGATTCAAACCCTAACATATAATTATCATGGCTTATGATAACTTTCTCTAACTTTGGCAATTATCATGACATTTAATGAAACATCCCAAAAATACGATCCAAAATTTTCGTTTTTATTTATTAAATAAACCATAGATATCAAAATCGTTCCATCACAAAATCATAAGTCGTAGTACCAAATCAGAGTATCACATCAAAACACATGTCAATATATCAGAGTAAAACATCACAGGCTAAAATCATGATGTGTGCACTGCAGTCATCCCAAGCTCTTCCCCTTGCTACCGGAAGTAACTAAAACCAAAACTAAAAACTGTAAGCATGAAGCTTAGTGAGTCTCCCCAAACTACCACATACCATACACATAATCACATAATCACATAATAACATAACATGGGCCTTGCCAGCTACATCAGGCCTCGTCCCGCATCGTACAATGTCCGGCATCCGGCCCCGCCCGGCATCGAGCAAAGCTCGATATACATATAAACATATCAACAATGCACATAAATAATCACATAATATAAACATATAAACATTCCTCGGGCCCCGCCCGGCATCGACCGAAATTCGGAAAGATATAAACATTCCTCGGGCTTTCCCCAACATCAAACCGAAGTCTGGAAAAACATACAAAACAAACACATGCAAGAATCACAAAGACATCAAGCATACAAACATTCATCGGGCTTTCCCTGGCATCGCACCGAAGTCCGAAAGATATAAACCTACATCGGGCACTGCCCGGCATCGGACCTTAGTCCGGAATATACTAACATACATAAACGGGTCGGCATTGGTGCCTTCGACCAATTCCTACAGGAGGAAACACACCTCAAATGATGTAAAGTAGCTGAACGGTCCTCAGCTCTAAAATCAACCCCTCTCAAACTCCTACATAAAATATTTTCCTTTAGTTACCCTTTTCATACTCATAACCCCTTAAGGGTCAACTTGGTCAAAGTCAAAGTCAAAGTCAACACCCTGGTCAAAGTCAACACTCTGGGTTGACTCAACTCGCCAAGTTGGCCAATCAACTCGTCGAGTTCCATAAATCATAAAACCCTGAAATCGCGATCCAACTCGTCGAGTTCTCTCACGAACTCGTCGAGTTTCTCCTATCACATAATCGAGACTTTCCAACCCAGCTCATCGAGTCTGTCCTTGAACTCGTCGAGTCCTTCCTTTTACAGAATCGGGACATTTCGACCCAACTCGTCGAGTTCCTCTATGAAATCGTCGAGTTCTTCAGTCTGTTAAACTTTCTTAATGTATTAAGCCATTATTCTTCGAGTCTATGCCCTATATTCCATATCTGGGCCGAATACACCTCTAGAAGGGTAAAGTTTCCGACTTTACCCAATAAGACCTATCCTAGAAGAGATGAGCTCTAACCCTAACCCAAAATGGCTTAGATTCAACTCCAAAAGCCATCAAAACTCCAAGATAAGCCAAAAGATCATAGATCTGGACTCTAGGGACAGTTTGGTTACGTAAAGTTCCTATCTTTACTTGCATGCATGGTCTACTTGGTCCAAATGACCAAAAAGATGGTCTACAAGTTGCATGGGACTTCCATGGTCATAAAGTTGGCACCTTTATGCCACGAAGTCCCCTAAAAACCCTAGATATGAAGGGTTTGCCCACATGGGGCGTCCAAATCCCAAAAACCCTCATTCTTGGACCAAAAGATGAAGAAAACAACCTAAAACTAGATCTAAGCACACTATAGACAAGGTAGGAGCTTTATACCTCAGATGAACCAGAAATGAAGCTCAACTTCTGGATCTACTCTTCTCCTACACGTCCTTGCTCCTTCTTCAAGTATTCTTCTTCTTCAAAATCACAAAGAATGCATAACAATGGCTCAAAACTCTCAAAAGTGAATTAGGGTTTCGTCGCTAGGGTTTGGGATAATGGAGGCTGTAAATGAGGCCAACTTATGGAGGTTACGATGCTTAAATAGGGTGCAAAACCCTGAAAATTAGGGTTTCATTTTGCCAGTCCTACTCGTCAAGTTGAGGCTTCTCAACTCGTCGAGTAGACTTCTTAACCCGCGTCCCTATCCATCTCTACTCGACGAGTTTGGGGCCTCCAACTCGTCGCGTTTCTATACAAAATGAATAAATTATAAATTAAATACATACCAGGAACCATGCATTATAATTCTCCCCCACTTGTCTCAGACTTCGTCCTCGAAGTCTGCTGTCTCAAATATCTCCGAATAATGCTCTCTCATCTCCTCCTCTGGCTCCCAAGTCCACTCTGACCCCTTGCGGTGCATCCACTGCACCTT